AACCTGACGTTCGAGTCCTCTAATGCTGCCTGGCCTGCTGTGTTCCTCCAGCCCCACACTTGGTTATCTTTGACTCCAGTATCTGCAGTTCTTGCTGTCTCACATTCCAAACTTATCTCACTGCCCAAGAGGAGTCAGAGACCAGAATCAATAATTCTGTTTCTCTCTCCAGATACTGTTGGGTACGTTCAGCATTTTCTGCTTTTACCTGTTGTGTGCTGCATGAGATATAATACCACCCCAATACAAAGCCACATTTGTGCCTACAAAGCTCAAAACTTATTTTCCAAGTAATTTCTTGGATGCTTTGAAGAAGAAGTATTAGTCCCTGGTTTCTTCCAACATGAGCATTAGCAACTCATGGTTAAAAATCCTTTGTGGTCAACCTTGGAAACAAACTGCAGCAACAGGTAACCACAATAGGCTGTGTAATTTGGTTCTGACGGCAGTACCTTGTACCTTCTACACTGATCTGAAACTAATCCTTGAAGTGTAATGACATCTTATTGATTTAATGCCAAGTATTTAAAAAGTGTCAAGAGTACGGAAAAAAGTTATTAGATTGACGGAGATCAATAGATAGTAGACCTTACCTAAAGCTTTTAGAAGTTCTTCTCTTACAGCAGATGTAAATTTCCGGATCAGGCAGAGAGACGTTACCACAGCAAATAATAGATTATACGAAAGCACAATGTAAAAATTGCCCAGCCAGTTGAACCTTCCAAAGTCTCCAAGTAGGTCAAATCTGGTTATCCCTGTTAAAAACAAGTATTGCTGAGAATGGAGAAACATCAACCCCACACAAAAGAGGTAACAGATTAACATACTGACAGATTGTGATATAAAATTGCATTTCTGCACATCAGATAGCAAGTTGCACCTAAGAGTTTGCAACATTAGGAGCCTACAGTAAAACATAATTTCATTTTATAATTTAGCTGTGTCATACTTTGTATAACTTCTGCAACTATAACTATTGCAAAGCAATATTCAAAAGAATTCACATCGTAAATACAGATCAATACCTAAGAAGTCAAATTGCGCTTGGTATAATTCAATTTTTTTTGCTGCAGTATTTCTAAGTTGCAGAGGTTAATATTTGCCTTAAGGAAACACTGTTGAAACACTGGATACTAACTTCCATCTACTGAGATGTGTGGAAGCTGCAGGCTGGCATTTAACAAAATGGAGTAGCATTCCTCGATAAATCAACCTGAAATCTGCTACTTAATTGTCAGTGCTCTGTTCTAGCTGTGTCAGTCTTTCTATATTTTACTGGAGTAAGAATACCCTGGACCAGACTGTTTCTGTTTTTAAACGAAGGTAAATGATATTGAAACAGAATAAAGTAGAAAGAAACTATAATAGTAGAATCCTGGATATGTTAATGCTTTGCAAATCAATATAAAATACACATGTTGTTAATGCATAGTGCGTTTATAATAACAATATCAAGTAACTGTTCATGTAATGAAACGTCTACTGAGAGATTCTAAGCCAATACTGAAATATTGGCACATCACATCCAATCTTTTGAAAAATGCAAGCTTATTTTAGGAAGAACAGAAAAAGGCATGAAATATCCATCAAGAGCATGATTCAGTCACCATAAATTTTAAATTAAAACTAACTTACCATTATTCTAGCAAGGAACAAAGTGGGTTAACAGGTACGGCTTGGACAGAGTGAGAAGCTGCAGGTTTGATGTGTGAAGGAATCTTAAAGGTCAACATATTTCTAAAACTCTAGTCTACTCTCCATTTGGCAGTTAGCTGTTAAACAAGTTTAATTTAAGATTTAAATTTAAACAAGTTTAAATACGTCCCATCCTTAGATGGGAACACTAAAGACTCTATACTGGTGAGCAATTGTAAATACCTCGATAGTTACTTTAGCTACAATAAAATTCACTCTTCTGAGTCTCAGGCAGTGTAATCCACAGCTTGAATGAAGCTTGAATAGTGTGTGAAGCTGCAAGTTAATTGTGTAGGAAGGGTGGGGGCAAAGAAAGAAATGCTCCTTACTTTGCTACCTTCTTCACCCTCTAGTATTTTTGTTATTTCTTGTTTCAGTACAGGAAGGGTGATTGATAAGTTATTCTTCTTACATTAGTTTGTAAATTTAAAAAGTATGACAAAGTGGCTTGGTCATGCAGAATGTGTATCTTGTCACATGTGGGAGGTTGTGGCCACACTACATTCACATGTCCTAAACAAACACATCCACAGGCACCTATCTGCAGGCAGGGTCACCAACTGCATAAATGTGAGCTTCAGGCTTTAGAACTGAAGTGGTGCTGCAACCATGAGGTAGAGGACAATGTGGATGGCATATTTAGGGGGACAGTCACACCATAGGTTAAAGGCATGCAGGCAGTGGAGGAGTGTGACCAACAGGCAATCTAGGAAAACCAGGTTTTTAAACCAGTTTACATTTTGGATACTGGTGATGGCAATGGCTCCACACAGGAGTGTAGCTAGACCCAAGTCTGTGGCACCACAGTTTATTCAGCTATACAGGTGGGGAGGAAGAGGATTGGAAGGGTAGAAGTGATGTGAATTCATTAGTTAGGAGAACAGACAGGTACTTCTTCAGCCAAGGTCATGATAATAACAAGTCAAGGATATCACAGAGCAATGATAGGACATTGTTCTGGGGGAGAGTGAAAAGCCAGAGGTCTTGGCCCACGTTGGTACTGACACCATAGGTAGGAAGTGGGGTGAAATCAAATTTTAGAAATCTATGACAGAGATTAACAAGCAGGGCCTCAAAAACCATAATCTCAGGATTATTCCCAATTTCACATGCTAGTGATCATAAAAGATGATGATTGAGCAATTGAACATGTGATTGGAGAACTGTTATGAGAGAGAGTATCAGATTTATGAGGCAGGCAGGACTTGTGCACAATGAATGGGCAAACTCCTGAATACTTTTTCCTAATTCCCTCTAGACCATGACCCCATCACTAAACATCAAGCCATTGTTTTCAGACTGTCATTATCCTCACTTCTGGAGATCTTGCCTCCACAGCTTACCACCTTGCAACTCCCTAACTTTGCACAACTTGCTCCCACCATCTTCTGAAGATCTTTAGGCAAGACTGACCTGACAGGTTTATTGTTTCAGCCTATTCCTGCCCTAATGAGCCTACCTTTTCCTTTCAGATTTTTTTCCCCCCCCATTGACCAGTCTTGGACTGCCTCCTATACTAGTTTATCCTAACTTATATAAGGGGACCAAAACAACTCAGCTGAGTTCTGACAAATGCCTTGTATAGTTTTAGCAATAGTTAGCAAATGTTTTCCAATAGTTAGCAGATTGTCTGGCCAATATACTGCCTCTAACACCATGTCTTATTAAGTAGTCTAACATGTGGTACCTAATCAAACAGCTTCTGAAGATCTACATATTACATCCACAGCTTCCCCCTTCTCTATCTTTCTTACCTCCTCAAAAGAACTATAATAAATTTGTCAGGCATGATTTCCCCTTCATGAAGCCATGCTTGACCATGCTTGATCATGGTATGTATTTTTAAATGCTCTGCTTTACTAAATAAGCTAACACTTTCTCAATAATAGATGTTAAACGTCTGGCCTATTGATAAGCCTTTTTTTGTTTCCTTCCCTTTTTAAATAAAGATGTCCCACTAGCAGTTTTCCAAACCTTTGGGACTTTTCCAGAACCTAAGGATTCTAAGATTACTATCAGTGCATCCACTACCTCTGTAGCTATTTCTTTTAATATCCTAGGATGCATCCCATTAGGCTCAAGGGACTTATCAGACTTTAGCCCCATTATTACCCTAGCACTTTTTCCTCTAGTGACAGTTATTGTGTTTATTTCCTCTTCTGTTTCCCATTACTTAGAAATTTTGGAAAGCTAGCGGTATCTTCTACTGTGAAAACAGAGACCAGAACATTCCAGAATAGAATTGCAGCATTCACAGCACTTTGCTTTTGTTTTAAGGATCGGGTTATTTTAGATTTAGTATTAAGTAGTGAAAAGGGCTAATCAGTAACCTTGTTCTAAAGGAACCTTCATGAAAGAGAGACCGGTGATAAAATTTTGCATTAAATTTGAAAGTGATATTGTTAATTCTGAAACTATAGACTTAAATCTAAACAAAGCAAACAATGAGCCTATGAGGGATGAGTTACCTATGTTGGATTGGGAAACTGCACACATTTGTCGATTCACAGCCAATTGTAAGAATTTAAAGAAAGTCTATACATTCCGCTAAAGGTGCAAAAACTCAACAGGGAAGGTGAATCAACCATGGCTGACAAAGAAGTTTAAGACTGCATCAGAGGAAGTTTGTCAGAAAAAGTGGCTAACCTAAGGATTATGAGCAATTTTGAATTCAGCAAAGAATGACCAAGAAACTCAAAAATGATAAAGAAAGGGAAAGGAGAATGTGAAAGCAAGCTAGTGAGAAAAATAAAGGCAAACAGTAAAATCTTCCTTAGCTTTGGAAAAAGAAAAAGACAAGGACAAATATGTCCGTTACAGGTGGACAAAGTCAGAAATCACACGACACCAGGATATAATCCACCAGAGATTATTTGAAAACACAAGCTTTCAGAGCCTCAGTCCATCTTCGCTGACACCTGAAGGAGGACTGAGGTGCCAAAAGCTTGCGTTTTCAAATAAACCTGCTAGACTATAACCTGGTGTCATGTGATTTCTGACTTTGTCCATCCCAATCCAACAACGGCACCTCCACATCACCGTTATAGGTGGATATAGGTGAATTTATAATGAAAAATAGGGAAGTGGCAGAGAATGTAGACAACTGTTTGCCTGCCTTTACAGGAGTTGCAGAAAATTTCCTGAAATACTAAGGAAACAAGGGAACTAACTGAAATTTATACTAGTAAAGGGGTAGTATTAAAAAAATTAACTGGATTGAAGGCTGATAAACCCCATGGACCAGATGAGCTACATATGAGAGATTGAGGAGGTGGCTATAGAGAGTGTGGATGCACTGTTGCTTATCTTTCAAAAATCTAGATTCTGAAAAGCTTCATACAGACTGTAAAGCAGCAAATGAGAAAGTACTATTTAAGGGAGAGAGGACGAGAAGGGGTATTTAATAATAGGAAATGAGGAAATAGCTGAGGCATTAAACAGGTATTTTATGTTGGTCTTCACAGCAGAGGACTTGAATAACTTGCCAGTAATTAAATGACAAGGAGACTAAGGTAGGTGTGGACCTAGACATGATCATTATCACCAGTGGTGATAAAGGTAACGTTGGTCAAGCTAAAAGTAGACAGGTCTCCTGGCCCTGATGGAATGCATCCCAGAGTACTAAATGAGATGGTGAGAGTAATAGCAAATGCAATTGTGGTAATTTTCCAAAATTCGCTAGACCCTGGGGCAGTTCCAGCAGATTGGTAAACAGCCAATGTGATGACACTGTTCAAAAAAGGAGGTAGACAAAAGACGGGGAATTACATGTCAGTTAGCTTAACTTCTGTAGTGGGGAAAATGCTTGAATCTATCATCAAGGAAGAAATAGCAAGATATCTAGATAGACAATGCCTCATTGAGCAGACGCAGCATGGGTTCATGAAAGGCAGGTCATGCTTGACTAATTTTCTGGAATTCTATGAAGACATTACGAATGCAGTGGACAATGGGGATTCAGTAGATGTGGCGTATCTGGATTTTCAAAAGGCATTCATCAACAAGGTGCCGTACAAAAGGCTGCTGCATAAGATAAAGGTGCATGGTGTTACAGGCAATG